AAAAAAAAAAAAAAAAAATTGTAAGCCCTTCTATCATCTGTACTCTCCTATATTCTCCTTTTTATATTTCTTTGTGCTATCTCCCCTTGACTCAGTACTTTAACAAAGTACTAAGACTCTTACCTCTCCCTTGCAAGAAAAAATCTCTAATTACTTTATTTGGCCAAGTTACAAACTCGAAATCAGAGTCAGCTCTGAACTCCTGATTAAAGCATCATATGGAGATGACTATGTAAATGGTAATGTGCAAGGACAAATTATAGGAGATACCATGGTAAAGAGATTTCTCATTGAATAAGTGGTTTCATTTCTTTTTGGGAAAAGGATTTAAGGCTTTAAATGTAAAGAAAAGAATTTTACTTCCTGCAGACATTCATTCATTAAATTTTTAAGAATTAATGAGATTCTATTTCATCAGTAGCACAACATAACATCCTATACAGACACAAATACATGTAAAGTATACTCAATTCTCTAGCAGATGTCACTTCTGCTAAGGAGACTAGACAGAAAAATACTGTGCTGTTAAATAACACTATAAACAGACATGGTGTTTCTATCTCATCCACTGACACATACCCCTCTCCCAATTAGGTAATTTTCATCTCTCTTGTCTCCCTGACCACACTGGATTATAGCTATAACTACAATCAACCATGCTGCTTTTTTTTTTTTTTTTTTTTTTTTTGAGATAGGGTCTTGTTTAGTAGTCCAGGCTGGAATGCAATGGCAGGATCATAGTAGGTGTGAACCATGCACTCGGCCAATTATGCTCTTGAATTCACCCTAGGCCGGGCATGGTAGCTCACGCCTGTAATCCCAGCAAGCACTTTGGGGGGCTGAGGCAGGCGGATCACCGGAGGTCAAGTGTTCAAGACCAGCCTGGTCAACATGGGGACACCCCATCTCTACTAAAAATACAAAAATTAGCCGGGCACAGTGGTGTGTGCCTGTAATCCCCGCTACTGGGGAGGCTGAAGCAGGAGAATCGCTTGAGCCCAAGAGGCGGAGGCTTCAGTGAGCTGAGATCGCGACACCGCGCTCCAGCCTGAGCGACAGAGTGAGACTCTGTCTCAAAAAAAAAAAAAAAAAAATTCACCCTAGATTCCTCTGTCCTGTGACTTTCTGTTATTCAACCCAGGATTTTCTTTCCTCTTGATCTCAGGTTGCAGAGTTGCTACCTATTTAATGTTCCACAATCTTGAGCAGGTTGCAACTCTTTGTTTTTGTAGACGGACTCTGGCTGTGTCACCTAGGCTGGAGTGCAGTGGTGCCACCTTGGCTCACTGCACCCTCCACCTCCCGGGTTCAAGCAATTCTCCAAGCAGGTTGCAATTTAATGATTAGGAGCAATCTGCATATAGGGCCTGGGAAGTGAGTGAGGAAATTTTACTCCTGCTGGAAGACAGACTTGTGAAATAACTGGGGTATTTAATCCCAGTCCCTGAGACTGAAAAGCCTCCAGAAAAGCAAGTAACACTATGCCAAGAAGACAGTTTAAATTCAGCCACGCACGGTGGCTCATGCCCATAATCCCAGCACTTCAGGAGGCCAAGGCGGGCGGATCACCTGAGGTCGGGAGTTTGAGACCAGCCTGACTAACCTCGAGAAACCCTATCTCTACTAAAAATACAAAATTAGCCAGGCAAGGTGGCGCATACCTGTAATCCCAACTACTCAGGAGGCTGAGGCAGGAGAATTGCTTGAACCCGGGAGGCGGAGGTTACAGTGAAGCGAGATCGTGCCATTGCACTCCAGCCTGGGCAGCAAGAGTGAAACTCCATCTCAAAAAAAAAAAAAAAAAAAAACCAAGAAAAAAGTCTAAATTCACACCCTTGGGTCATTTTAACAAATGCAGCAAACATGGGAGAACATTGAGAGAAAACTGTGCTAATAATTAATTTGGCCAGACAGAATGGCCAGGAATGCTCACAAATATAGTGACAGTAATGGTGTCATTCTGAGGCCTTCGCCTCAAGGAAGGGCTTGAAAGGAGATAAAGTCTAAGGGCAGTAGCTGGCATTTCAAATTCTAGATGCCTGAGACAGACAGGCACCGAGACAGCTCCACGCTTCTCTCAAAGTAAACATATAATTCATAGAGGGTTAACAAAATAATAATGTGAAATTTTTCCCCTTTAAATCTCTGGGGGTGGCTCATGCCTGCAACCCAGCACTTTGGGAGGCCGAGGTGGGAGGATCGCTTTAGGTCGAGTCCGAGACCAAACTGGGCAACATAGCGAAACCCTGTCTCTACAAAAAATTAGCTGGGTGTGGTGGCACAGGCCTGTAGTCCCAGCTGCTCGAGAGGTTGAGGTGAGAGGACCGCTTGAGCCTGGGAGTTGGAGGTTGCAGTGAGTCGTGATGGTGGCACTGCACTCCAGCTTGGGCGACAGCAAGGCTGTCTCAAAACAGAAAAAAAAAAAAAAAGGCTGGGAGCGGTGGGTCACACTTGTAATTCCAGCACTTTGGGAGGCGAGGTGGGCGTATTAGGAGGTCAAGAGATCGAGACTATTCTGGCCAACATGCTGAAACCCTGTCTCTACTAAAAATACAAAAATTAGCTGGGCATGGTGGTGCGTGACTCTAGTCGCAGCTACTCCAGAGGCTGAGGCAGGAAAATTGCTTGAACCCGGGAGGCGGAGGGTGCAGTAAGCCGAGATCACACCACTGCACTCCAGCCTGTGCAACACAGCGAGACTCCGTCTCAAAAAGAAAAGAAAAAAGAAAAAAAGGCGCAAAGGCTCCGTTCAGTCCTTAGATCCCACGATACAAACTTTCTCCTCCCGACCCAGCCCAGTGTGGCGGGAACATTCTGGAAGTGACGGCAATCTCTGCGGCAGTCTTCTGTCGGAAGTGACGTCGCTATCCCAGAATCCTTAGAGAAGGAGAAGCGCGTTCTTGCGTCCTAGTCCCAGTACAGCGTGGAGGGCTTAGGGAACGTGTTCTGATTCTCTGCGGGACGGCTAGCACGTTTGTGCTTTGCCCGCCGCGGCTTAGGGGACTTTTTGGGACCGTGTAGTCGGTGTTTTTGAACTGAGTCCACAGCTCGTGGTGGGCCGTGCGGCGCCCTGACCCGGCCTCACCATGTTGGTGCTGTTTGAAACATCTGTGGGCTACGCCATCTTTAAGGTAGGTGGGAGAGCGAGCCATTAAAGGGGGAAGGCGGGTGCTGGACAGACGAGGAGAGGGAAAGACTTAAGCACAGAACTACTCAGGGTAGCGTGGGTGCCTGTTATGGCCCGGGCTCTGGGAGGAGGGAGAAGGCCTTTACATCTGAGAGCCCTATTACGGGTAACACGTGGCCCCGCCGTTTGGGGAGACCCGTTCTGCGTTAAAGGATTTTATTTCCTCCGTTGAAGAGGTGGGCAGGAGGCGTGTTAGAATTTAACAGTATAGTTATAGGAAATTCGGATTTTCTTCTAGATGTTTTGAGGAATGATCGAAAGGTTTTTGTTGTTGTTGTTTTGTTTTTTGAGATGGAGTTTCGCTCTTGTTGCCCATGCTGGAGTGCAGTGGCGCAATCTTGGCTCACAGCAACCTCCGTCTCCCGGGTTCAAGCCATTCTCCTGCCTTAGCCTCCCGAGTAGCTGGGATTACAGGCATCCACCACCACGCCTGACTAGTTGCTTTGTTTGTTTGTTTGTTTGTTTGTCTTTTAGTAGAGACAGGGTTTCACCATGTTGGCCAGGCTGGTCTTGAACTCCTGACCTCAAGTGATCCAACTGCCTCGGCCTCCAAAGTGCTGGGATTACAGGCGTGAGCCTCCGTGCTCTGCCGATCGAAAGGATTTAAGCAAAGGAATGACCTGCTAATTGGTCTTAATACGGTTACTCTGCTATGTGGAGATTAGACTCGAGGAGGTGAGAAAGGCGGCAAGAATACTTTTGCATTCATTTAGACAAGATGAAATTGCCTGGTATGGAGATAAACAAATATCGATAGAAATTTTGAAGGTAGAACAGAAAGGATTGGCTGATAGATTGAATTTGGAGTTTTGGTTTAAATAAGATGTTAAGAAAGTTTCTTGCGGGGGAAGGACGAAAGATTTCCGGTTTGGGCTGTGCAAAGCTTGCAATGTTTATTAGACCTGATAATGCAGTTGTGTAGATCGGGCAGTTCAGTATTTCAAATTCGAAGCTTAGGGGAAACAATCTGGGCTGGTGATGTCAATTTGAGATTTGGTTGTTTTCATGGGGAGAGTTTGACAAGTTCGTCAGCACTGAAATGGTTGAACGGTAAGACATTCGTATCGCAAGATGCTGTTGAGATGTCAGTAAGAATAAGTGAGATTGAGTGCCTTTTGTGCCGTGCACTCTTTTGAGCTCTGCGAATATAGCAATGAAAAATAAAGTTTTATGTATATTCTACGTATATATGTGTTGGTAGAAAGCAAAAAACGCTAGATAAAAATAAATGCAATACAATTTTAGCTGTGAACCAAAAAAAACCATTTGTGGTGTGGATGCAGAAGGTCTAGATGGGTGCGGAGTTCTCCATATTTCACTTCTGACATTTGAAAATACGCAGTTTGCATTTGATACGTCAAATACTTATTTTTAAGAAAACCAATAAAATCATTAAAACCGAAAAGGCAGTTTTGCTTGTTTTTACCTTAATTGGAGTTATCTGTAATTGCAGTGTTAGTAGTTTTAAGGATTTTAAGTTACTTAGTCCCCTTTAGAGCTACGAAACATATCAATTTTACTTTTCTCCAGCTTTTTGGAATCTTATCTAAAATCTCATGTAGAGTTCTGCATAGCTCCAAATTCTCTTAGCTAATGTGGTCTGTCAGTGTCTGTCGACGAATTTCACCGTTCACGGTTAATTGATACAATATGCTGTCCTGAACCGGATGTTAAGAGGAGCAACTGCGCAGTGCACTGGTTGTCTCCCATGGTAGGAAGGAATTGGCTTATCAATGGTCCGCCTAAAATTTTTTTTTTTTTTTTTTAGAGACAGAGTCTCCCTATGTTGCCTAGGCTGGTCTCAAACTCCTGGCCTCAAGGTGCTGGGATTACAGGCATGAGGTACAGTGTTCTGCCCACTTCTGTATTTAGAGCGATTAGAAAGGAAAGCACTTCAAAACTTTATTGTTCATTAACAGGGTTATATATATGTATATATATTAATATAAAGACATTGTGTAAAGCAACTTTTGTGATTAATTCTAGGATATTATAAAAATTCAACCTGTGGCCGAGTGCAGTGGCTCACACCTGTAATCCCAGCTACTCAGAAGGATGAGGCAGGAGAATCAGTTGAACCTGGGAGGCAGAGGTTGCAGTGAGCTGAGGTCGCACCACTGCACTGCAGCCTGGGCGACAAGGCAAGACTCCATATCAAAAAAAAAAAAAAAAAATTACACCTGTGTCCTTGTGTCACGTGGCACACAGCATACGATGTTAGTCTTGCTCATACCAGACTTTCTTCGGTTGCTCCTCATGTGGTAGCCATTAGTACATATAACTATTTCACATGAGATATAACTGATAGGACTGAGGCAGTGCATTTTAACTTATTTGAATTTTAATGGTTATATTGTACAGTGTAGCTGTGTAGCATAGCATTTTGTGTCACTTCGTTTTCTCAAGGTTTGGAGAAAGATTTTTGGTTTATATACCAAATGTCTGTATAAAACCTAGGCACTGAGCAATATATTTTTTCTAACTTTATTAGGGGTACTTTACATACTGTATAACTCGCCTGTAGGTTTTAGTTGCAGTCCAGTTTTATAGTACACTTTGTTGCAAAAAGTTATGCCCATTTTCAAGTTAGTCCTGCTCTAGACAACCACTGATCAGCTTTCTTTGCATAATTTTTTCTGAAAGTTTCATGTAAATGGAGTAGTATTTTAGTCTTTTGTGTGTGGCTTTTTTCACTTAGCCTAGTGCTTCTGAAGCTAACCCAAGAGCTTTTTCACTCTTGTTGCGTGTATGGATTTGTTTCTTTTTGAGCCGTGCACATTTTAAAGTAATTATCAGTTTTATCCTGTATTCAAACAAGTTTCATAAAACATTACTTGCTCATATTGTCTGGGGAAGTAAAAGTTAGCATCATGTATTTACAAATATAGAGGTTGGGTGCAGTGGCTCATGCCTGTCACCCTAACACTTTGGGAGGTGAGGCAAGAGACTGCACTGCAGCCTGGGCAACATGGTGGGAAAAAAATTAGCTGGGCACAGTGGTGCTTGCCTGTAGTGCCAGCTACTGCAGGAGGCTGAGGTGGGAGGGAGATCATGGCTGCAGTGAGCCGTGATTGGGCCTCTGCACTTTAGCCTGGGCAATAGAGTGAGACCTCATCTCAAAAAAAAAATGAAACAAAACGAAAACCACACAAAGTCTCAAGCAATCAATTAAAAGTGAAAATTAGGAGCTGTGCATGGTGGCTCATACCTGTAATCCCAATACTTTGGAAGGCTGAGGTGGGCAGATCATGAGATCAGGAGTTTGAGACCAGCCTGGCCAACATAGTGAAACCCCGTCTCTACTAAAAATACAAAAATTAGCCAGGCATGGTGGCACACATCTGTAGTCCCAGCTGAGGCGGGAGAATCGCTTGAACCAGGGAGGTGGAGGTTGTGGTGAGAAGACTGCGCCTCTGCACTCCAGCCTGGGTGACAGGGCAAGACACTGTCTCCAAAAAAAAAAGTGATTAAAATTATTAATTCCATACAGCCTCACCAATATTCTGTGTCAACTGCCAAAGTATTGGATAGGATGGGATTAATCCTGAAATGCACAACCCCCATATTTAACATCCCTAAAATTGGGATGTCTTAAAATTGATGACAGGTCAATTGGGAGTGTAAAAGAATAGCATAAGCCGGGTGCAGTGGCTCACGCCTGTAATCCCAGCACTTTGGGAGGCTGAGGCGGGAAGATTGCCAGACCTCAGGAGTTGGAGACCAGCCTGGGCAACAGGGTGAAACCCTGTCTCTACTCAAATACAAAATAAATAAATAAATAAGTTAGCCAGGCATGGCAGCGTGTGCCTGTAATCCCAGCTACTTGAGAGGCTGAGGCAGGAGAATTGCTTGAACCAGGGAAGTGGAGGTTGTCGTGAGCCGAGATCATGCCACTGTGCTCCAGCCTAGCCAACAGAGCAAGACTCTGTCTCAAAAAAAAGAATAGCATATTAAATTTGGTGAAATATAGTATGCACAGATATTATGGATATATTTTTATTTAAAAACCAGCTGGGTTGGGCACCATGGTTCCTGCCTGTACTCCCAGCACTTTGAAAAACCAAGGCAAGAGGATCACTTGAGTCCAGAAGTTAGAGATCAGCCTGGGCAATAAAGCAAGCCCCTGTCTCTACAAAAATATTTTTAAAATAGCTAGGTGTGGCAGTGTGCGCCTTTAGTCCTAGCTACTTGGGAGGCTGAGGCAGAAGAATCGCTTGAGGCCAGGAGTTTGAGGCTGCAGTGACATAGGACCACACCACTGCACTGCAGCCTGGACAACAAAGCGAGACCCTGTCTCTGGAAAAACAACACAGCTAGTAAATATAAAACTATACCTTGCTAATAAGCATTATTTATCAAGTCCATAATATAGCACATCTACACATTAACACGCAATTCTAGTCTGCTTATGTATTTTCAGTAAAAGAAACAAAATTGCAAGTTGTATAAAACTTAGATGAGTGTGACAAGATGATTTTAGGGATTTGTTCTGATGTATAAATTTAATCACACATGGTTGAATTAGATATGTTGGTAAAAATAACCCAAACTAGAAAAACTTAGTCACACAAAGCAGTAAACAACGACAAAGCCTAGAGTTGGTATTAACAATTAATAAACTAATAGTTCTACCTTTATATATCATGAAGCTTTAGAATCCAAAGACATCTCACCAAGCCTCATGACTATACTGAAAACATTGATTAAAATTTTTTGAAATTGTTCAGAGAATGCAGCTAACCGTAACTGAAGTTCACTATTTTTAAGAGGATATGTATCAACTAGGGGATATGACTCATGAGTAAAATTCACATTTTTTCCAGCTGAAAAGCAAGTATATTTGAAGATAACATTTGGGTAACAAAATTGCCATATTTAAAAGATACTGTTGGCCTGGTGCGGTGGCTCATGCCTGTAATCCCAGCACTTTGGGAGGCCAAGGCGGGTGGATCACGAGGTCAGGAGATAGAGACCATCCTGGCTAACACGGTGAAACCCCGTCTCTACTAAAAATACAAAAAATTAGCCAGGCGTGGTGTGGGCGCCTGTAGTCCCAGCTACTCGGGAGGCTGAGGCAGGAGAATGACGTGAACCCGGGAGGCAGACCTTGCAGTGAGCTGAGATCCTGCCACTGCACTCCAGCTTGGGCAACAGAGGGAGACTCTGTCTCAATAAATAAATAAATAAATAGGCAGACCTTGCAGTGAGCTGAGATCCTGCCACTGCACTCCAGCTTGGGCAACAGAGGGAGACTCTGTCTCAATAAATAAATAAATAAATAAATAAAATAAAAGATACCATCACCATTCTTTTTTTTTTTTTTTTTTTTTTGAGACAGAGTCTCGCTCTGTCGCCCAGGCTGGAGTGCAGTGACCGGATCTCAGCTCACTGCAAGCTCCGCCTCCCGGGTTTACGGCATTCTCCTGCCTCAGCCTCCTGAGTAGCTGGGACTACAGGCGCCCGCCACCTCGCCTGGCTAGTTTTTTGTATTTTTTTAGTAGAGACGGGTTTCACCGGGTTAGCCAGGATGGTCTCTATCTCCTGACCTCGTGATCCGCCCGTCTCGGCCTCCCAAAGTGCTGGGATTACAGGTTTGAGCCACCGCGCCCGGCCACCATCACCATTCTTAAACTGAAGTTAAAATAACAAAGGAGATGTAATAAAATCAGGGCAATTCATGAGCACACAAAGGTTTTCAAAGACTATGTTATGACAGCCAAAACCATTACTATGACAAAACCACTGTGTTCCCAACTGTGCAACAACATCTTGAAGAAAACATTGCTAATAAAGACAATCTAAATAAGAAACTCAGAGATATTGCTACATTTTCTGTTTTACATTTGTCTCAAAATTTTTTTATTTGTCTCAAATTTTTAATCATTTCTTTTCAGCCAGGGTAATGATAAATATGTATACAAAAATCCATTTTAAGTTTTATCATTTTAAGTTAAGATAGAATAATTCCCATTTCTAAGTAGAAATAGTATGCAACTATTACCATCGCAATCTTTAGCATTGTTGTTACAATAATAGTAGCTTTAAAACAAGTCTTTATATTTTATAGATACAAACTGAAATATTAACAGGTAAAATTAAATGTCTAGGTCTTGTTTCAGAACAATATGAGGGGGCTGGGTGTGGTGGCTCACGCCTGTAATCCCAGCTCTTTGGGAAGCTGAGGTAGGTGGATCGTCTGATGTCGGTAACTCAAGACCAGCCTGGCCAACTTGGCGAAACATAGTCTCTACTAAAAATACAAAAACTAGTTGGGTGTTGTGGTGCACGCCTGTAATCCCAGCTATTCGGGAGGCTGAGGCAGGAGAATCGCTTGATCCCAGGAGGCGGGGTTGCAGTGACCCAAGATTGCACCACTACACTCCAGTCTGGGTGACAGAGCTAGACCCCACCTCAAAAAAAAAAAAAACATTTAATGTGATTCCTAAAAGTATGCATGAACATGCATTGCACAGACATTCAAAGTCTTGGAGAATATATACCTGAATGTTGATGAGTATTTTGTTGATTACCCTACATTTAAAAAAATTTCACACATCTAGATGTGTCTCACAATTGGTGATAGTTTTAGAGAAATCCATAATACTTTCATTTAGGATGATCATAGCAGTAAATTATGAATATCTATTGAAAGTAGGCAATAAAAGGTTTTTTTTGTTTGTTTGTTTGAGATGGAGTTTTTTGCTCTTGTTGTCCAGGCTGGAGTGCAGTCATACAATCTCGGCTCACTGCAACCTCCGCCTCTGGGTTCAAGCAGTTCCCCTCCCTCAGCCTCCCGAGTAGCTAGGATTACAGGCATGTGCCAGCACGCCCAGCTAATTTTGTATTTTCTTTTTTTGTAGAGACGGGGTTTCTCCGTGTTCGTCAGGCTGGTCTCGGACTCATGACCTCAGGTGATCTGCCTGCCTCCGCCTCCCAAAGTGCTGGGGTTACAGGTGTGAGCCACCGCACCTGGCACAAATAAAAGTTTTTAATTATTACAGTACTTTATTGTAAAGGGATTAATGGCTCTTTTAAAAGAAAGGTTCTCAACCAGGTGCAGTGGTGCACGGCTATAATCCCAGCTACTCAGGAGGCTGAGGTCCTAAAATCTCATGAACCTAGGAGGTGAAGGTTGCAGTGAGCCAGGATTGCTCCACTGCAGTCCAGTCTGGGCTACAGAGTGAGACTCCATCTCAAAAAAATAAAAAGAAAGGTAGGTTCCCTGCCCTACCCCCCAGGACCTGTAGCTCCAGCTATGGTCCAAGGCTGGGGCAGGGATATCACTTGAGGCCAGGTAGATCCTAGACTGTGAATAGCCACTGTACTACATCTGACTGGACTAGATCTGAATTCCATTCAGCTGTTAAATGGGCAATTCGAACTAGTAATTTGACCAAAAATATATACATGGTAGGAAAACTAGTTCATTGTCTTAGTGAAAGAAATAGCTTCTAGCACCCTCATTTTACATGTAAAATTGTACTTGAAGAACGCAGCTGTGTATGCCTAACCTGTACCATTTAAAGAAAACTAAACATTTTATTATAGGTTCTAAATGAGAAGAAACTTCAAGAGGTTGATAGTTTATGGAAAGAATTTGAAACTCCAGAGAAAGCAAACAAAATGTAAGTAATCTTGAAATCAGTAATTTAGCAGTTAACATTTAGAGCTTGTTTTATTTTTTACATTTTTTCCTGATTTATATAATGTTACATTCGTAGTTTTCTGTTTTGAAATCTGTTTCAGGAATAATTTTGGTATGAACCTAATTATTGCAAATATTTTACTTGGAGTATAGGCCATCTCAATTAATTTAGAGGCAGTAGTCCCTCCCTTACCCCAGGGATTATGTTCCAGAAAACCCAGTGGTTACTTTAAACCTCAGATAGTACCAAATGTGATTGCTGTCAGGAACACATTTGTCTTCATGTCTTCCACACACAAATGTAATACCTTTTCTATCTTAACTAAACACTTACCACACACAGGGGTTGTAACCCGCTTTTTGAGGTGCAACAGCAAAACTAGCATGAACTTCTTTTTCCTTCATCACAATTTCATGGAAGATTCATTCTTGGTGTAGATCTTAAATCTTTGTTTTTTTGTTTGTTTGTTTGTTTTTTGAGACAGTCTTGCTCTGTCTCCCAGGCTGGAGTGCAGTGGCGCGATCTCTGCTCGCTGCAACCTCTGCCTCCTGGGTTCAAGCTATTCTTCTGCCTCAGCCCACCAGGTAGTTGGGATTACAGGTGCTCACCACCACGCCCAGCTAATTTTTGTGTTTTTAGTAGAGACAGAGTTTTGCCATGTTGGTCAGGCAGGTCTCAAACTCCTGACCTCAGGTGATCTGCCAGCCTTGGTCTCCCAAAGTGCTGGGATTACAGGCATGAGCCACCGCATCCGGCCTAAATCTTCGTATTTTTATGTGTATTTAAGGGACCACACTAGCATGTTCCTTTACGAGGTAAGAAAACCTTGCTTAAGATGACACTGTTGCTGGGCGCGGTGGCTCACATCTGTAATCCTAGTGCTTTGGGAGGCCAAGGTGGGTGGATCATTTGAGGTCAGGAGCTCGAGACCAGCCTGGCCAACATGGTGAAATCCCATCTCTCCTAAAAATACAAAATTAGCCAGGCATGGTGGCGCATGCCTGTAATCCCAAGTACTCGGAGGAAGCTGAGGCAGGAAAATCCCTTGAGCCTGGGAGGTGGAAGTTGCAGTGAGCCAAAATTGCGCCACTGCACTCCAGTCTGGGCGGCAGAGTGAGACCCTGTCTCAAAAAAAAGAAAAAAAAAAAAAAAAGATGATACTGTGTTTTAGGCAAATAGAAGACTAGTTTTCCTTCTTAAAGGGTTATATGCTTTGTTGGGTTAATCTGATTCGTTGTTGTCAATGATGTATTCTTGTTGGAACTGAATCTTAAGTGATCTGACTCAATATTCGTCACTACCACTGAGACAACAATGAATCAACTATATGTTTCTTTCTGCATAAAATACTGCCCTGAGGCCGGGCGTGATGGCTCACTCCTGTAATTCCAGCATTTTGGGAGGCCAAGGCAGGTGAATCAGTTGAGCCCAGGAGTTCAAGACCAGCCTGGGCAACATAGGGAACTCTACCAAAAACAAAAATTAACCGGGCGTGGTGGTGCACACTATAGTCCTAGCTACTTGGGAGACTGAGGCTGGAAGATCCTTTGAGCCCGGGAAGTCAGGGCTGCGGTGAGCTGTGATTGCACCATTGTATTCCAGCCTGGGTGACAGTGAAGGGAGTCCCTGTCTCAAAAACATAAAGGGTAGGATGTAACAAGAATGAGATCTGACAATAAGTTATTTTTTTAATGGCATTTGTACAGGATAGACAAATGAATATCATGAGATTCTTAAAAGGGACCCACATACTTTTTCTTGAGTCAGTTCTATGCTGTATAATAAAGTCATCTCTGTACGGCTTTATGCAACAGGAGTTTGTATTAAAGCTTCAACATCTTTACAGTTGGCCAAAGTTTCTTTCAAAGCCTACAACTTTCTTTTAATAATCCAAGCATTACTAGTCTAACATTTAGAAAAACTAGTAATTTTATGAAGAATATCTAACTTCACACCCTGACACACAATGATAGGCATGTTTTATTGGTGTGTGCTTTGGAAACAGTCAAGCACTTCTTTCCAAGTTATGTGGCTTTTGAATCAATGCACTGTCCCCCACCCCCAATAACATGCTTCTCTCTCTTTTTTTTAATTCTAGAGTAAAGCTAAAACATTTTGAGAAATTTCAGGATACAGCAGAAGCATTAGCAGGTAAAGTAAAAAACTAGAAGGTTGCTTTTTTGAAAAAATTAAGTCTTAGCCGCTTGCTTTTCTTGTTAAAAGGTTGTTTGCTTCAGTTGCCTGTGTTAACCTTATTCAATGTTGTCAATGATGCATTCTTACTGGAACTGAATTTAAGTGATCTGACTCATTCGTCACTACCACTGAGACAACATTGAGTTAGCTTTTTTCACCGTAGGGCTGATTTTCCCCATGTGTGAGGAGAGGTGAGAAGTGGTTAAGTTGATCTCCCTGTGGAAACCAGCAACATAATGCTGAAGCACAATTCAGTAAAAGGTGTTCTACAAGGGACCAAGGTAATGTGGTCAAGTACACAGCTCTCTCCTCATTTTAAATCAAGGGTAGAGTTGTAATCTTGAGAGCAGCCAGGATTCACAGTTGAAAAAATAATTTAAAAAGCTCTTCTTGGCTTATAGATTTTTAGTTCAAAAAAAGCATATCAATATTCAGATTTATCCGGAAACTGACAGAGGTGTTTTTTTTTTTTTTTTTTTTTTTTTTTTTTTTTTTTTTTTTTTTTTTTTTTTTTTTTTTTTTTTTTTTGAGACGGAGTCTTTGCTCTGTCGCCCAGGCTGGAGTGCAGTGGCGCGAACTCGGCTCACTACAAGCTCTGCCTCCTGGGTTTACGCCATTCTCCTGCCTCAGCCTCCCGAGTAGCTGGGACTACAGGCGCCCGCCACCTCGCCCGGCTAGTTTTTTGTACTTTTAGTAGAGACGGGGTTTCACCGTGTTAGCCAGGATGGTCTCGATCTCCTGACCTTGTGATCCGCCCGTCTCGGCCTCCCAAAGTGCTGGGATTATAGGCGTGAGCCACCGTGCCTGACCCAGAGGTGTTATTTTTAAAAGATTTAGAAGAATGGATGACTCATACTCTTCAACTAGATTTCATCATGGGACAACAGAGTGGTAGGGTTTATTTACTATAATTGACTGCGGTAGGTCTTACAGTTTTGTTTTTTTAAGTGTTGGGGAAAACAGGAAGAGCAGATATAAAGCCCAAATCATTGAATTTTCAACTGCCTAAATTCTGTATCACAAATCAGCCAACTCTTTGGCAGTGTAGTTTGAAAATGAAGGACTGTGAGGAAGAATATGGCTTAAAGCTGGGCAAGAATATGACAGATGCAAAAAGTTGTGTTAAATAACCACAGGAGAAAGGTACAGTTTTTGTTCGAAAATTGGGAATCCAACTAAACATTCTGGAACATAACAGACCACCCTAACCTTGGCAGAGGGGTAAACTGAAGGAAGACCCATAGGGCCAGTTTCTTTGTTTTATAAACGTAGTTCTTCAGCTTCACCAACCCTTCAGTAATTAGAGTTATATACAGCCATAAAGAACAACTGTGGTAATATTAACTGGGAGAATTTTTTAAAAGATAGCGTGTTCATCACAGCTTGTAAGTATGGGTAAAAATTTGGTAAAATTCCAAGCAAGATTGTGTTACCTGCATTCCAACTCTAGGGGGTGTTGTTGACACACACTGGGATATGAACAGTTCCTAGTGGAGATGTAGTGTGCTGCAGTCCTGATCTCAAGGAGTGTCTTCTGAATTCTTTTTTGCATATGATCTTTAATCTGCTTGGGATATTTCTGGCCAGTCCTTATTAAACTGTATTAAATGGACAAGCCAAGCTTTTGCCCAAACAAGCAGGTTTTTACTATTAATACCTAATATATTGAACACATACTGATTGTCAAATTTATGTTTATGATTTCATAATTGTTATTTAATTCTTGAATCCTGTGAGGAAGATAACCATCACCTCTATGTTACAGATAATAAAACTTGAAATTTGAGCAGTATTTCTAGATTCCTTTACCTAGCTTCTTTGTATTATTTAAAGTAATGTACAATAAGGCTAGGCACAGTGGCTCACGCCTGTAATCCCAGCACTTTGGGAGGCCGAGACAGGCGGATCACCTGAGGTCAGGAGTTCGAGATCAGCCTGGCCAACATGGTGAAACCTCGTCTCTACTAAAATTACAAAAATTAGCTAGGTGTGGTGGCAAACACCTATAGTCTCAGCTACTTGGGATGCTGAGGCAGGAGAATCACTTGAACCCAGGAGGCGGAGGTAGCAGTGAGCCAAGATTACGCCACTGCCCTCCAGCCTGGGCAACAGAGCGAGACTCTGTCTGAAAAATAACGTAAAATTAAGTAATGTACAGTAAATGGACAAAATGCCATAGTAGTTGAGAATTTAAAGTCAGACTCCCTCCTCCCCTCCCAGTCTAAGCTCCATGAGGGCAGAGACTGTTCTGTACTGTCAAATTCCTATATAAGGTTTATAAATAAATACTTTGGGGAAAATGAATGAAAATAGTGAATTTTGCCAGGAGTGCTGTCATAGAAACATTTACAGTGCCTTTTCCTATCTGTTTTCACCAGAAAGTTAAATGAACATCAGCTAATTAAGAGAGCAGAATCCTTTTTTGAGAGTTCACTTCTCACTGCCTGTTACGAGGCAGTTTTGACATGACAGAACTACAACTAAATGACTGTTAATGTCACAGTGTACATTTTAAACCTCATAGCCTTAGAGTTTGATGAGACCAGGCGCAGTGGCTAACGCCTGTAATCCCAACATTTTGAGGGGCTAAGATGGGCAGGAATTTGAGATCAGCCTTGGCAGTATAGCGAGACTCCCTCTCAAATTTTTCTTTTTGGAGACAGAGTCTTGTTCTTTATGTCACCCAGGCTGGAGTGCAGTAGCACGATCTTGGCTTACTGCAGTCTCCACCTCCTAAGATCAAGCAATTCTCCCAGGAGGCTGGGTTCAGCCTCCTAAGTAGCAGGGATTACAGGTGGTACCACCATATCCAGCTAATTTTTATATTTTTCAGTAGAGACGGGGTTTCGCCTGTTGGCCAGGCTGGTCTCGAACTCCTGACCTCAGGTGATCCACCTGCCTTGGCCTCCCAAAGTGCTGGGATTACAAGCACGAGCAAGTATTCCTGGCCATCAGTTTTGTTTTTTTTTTTTAAATAAAGAAATAGGGTCTGGGCCGGGCGCGGTGGCTCACTCCTGTAATCCCAGCACTTTGGGAGGCCGAGGCGGGTGGATCACGAGGTCAGGAGATCGAGACCGTCCTGGCTAACAGTGAAACCCCGTCTCTACTAAAAAAAAAAAAAAGAAAAAAAAAATACAAAAACGTAGCCAGGCGTGGTGGTGGGTGCCTGTAGTCCCAGCTACTCGGGAGGCTGAAGCAGAATGACATGAACCTGGGAGGCGGAGTTGCAGTGAGCTGAGATCGCACCACTGTACTCCAGCCTGGGTGGCAGAGCGAGACTCCATCTAAAAAAAAAAAAGAAAGAAAGAAATTGGGTCTGTTGGGGTATGACATTGAAGTTGTATTGGTTTCAGACATTCATATATGCTATTTACATGAAATGGTTTATTTTTATTCTTGATTGTGTTTTCAACTTGCAAGTCTTTTTTTTTTTTTTGAGACTGATCCTTGGCTGGAGTGCAGTGGTGCAATCCCAGCTCACTGCAATCTCTGCCTCCCGTGTAGCTGGGATTACAGGTGCATGCCACCATGCCCACCTAATTTTTGTATTTTTAGTAGTAGAGACGGGGTTTCACCATGTTGCCTAGGATGGTCTCATCTCCTGACGTCGTGATCTGCTCACCTTAGCCTCCCAAAGTGCTGGGATTATCCATTTGATCATAATTCAAATGGATATACAATCTGGAGGGAAGAGCAAGACCTTATTTATTAAGTGCAAAGTGCCTTACCTTGGAAATTGTTGACTTCCTTCCTTCCTTCCAAGCATTTTTCTTTTTTTTTTCTTTTTTTGAGATGGAGTTTTGCTCTTGTCTCCCAGGCTGGAGTGCAATGTCACGATATCACTGCAACCTCCACCTCCTGGGTTCAAGTGATTCTTCTACCTCAGCCTCCCGAATAACTAGGATTACAGGCATGAGCCACCAGGGCCAGCTAATTTTTGTATTTTTAGTAAAGAGAGGGTTTCGTCATGTTGGCCAGGCTGGTGGTACATGCCACCATGCCTGGGTAACCCAAGCATACTTTTATCTCAGTCAAATGTCAGATAAATATCCGAAGAGGTATTAGTTCATGTGGGTCCAGAAAATGGGAATAAAGGTCTAAGGAAGGATGAGTATTATAAAGTAGCTGATTTAGAACTTCCCAGAAATACTAGCGGTCTCAAAATAGAATAGGTAGCCTTTGCTACAAAGTTTTACATTGCTGGAGGTGTACAAGCAGAGATACAGCAAAGGTAAGGCTTTCACTCAAACACGCTTATGTTGTGGCAGAATTTTGAAAATGATTACACTCATTTTTACTAGTTTTGATGTGATTTTAGGGTGTTTCAGGACGGTCTATTTGAAATGACAAAGGAAAGTGAATCTATTTTGTCTTCCCAAAAAGATTGTTTCTAAGATTTCATGATTCTCTCTTGAGTTCATGAGAAGATTCTTGTGAGAGGGAAGAAACTCTGTACCTGATTTTACCCCTGACTCTGTAGCAAAAATGAGGGTGGGAAGATCAAATGAAATTGTGAAATTTGTAACTTATAAAACATGTATCGTTTCATTTCAGAAGTAACATTAAATTCAAGCCCTTTGAAAGGTCTATTTTATTTTTTTAAATGTCAAATAGGACAAGGTCTCAAAGTTAAAAATTTGAGAGTTAATGCTTTTGTTTTTCTTTTTCCTGAAAAGCATTCACAGCTCTGATGGAGGGCAAAATCAATAAGCAGCTGAAGAAAGTTCTGAAGAAAATAGTAAAAGAAGCCCATGAACCGCTGGCAGTAGCTGATGCTAAACTAGGAGGGGTCATAAAGGTAAAGTAATGATTTTTTTGGTCATGCCTGCTAGTCAGATCTCACAGCATACCAACTACAAAGCCTAGCCTTTGTAATAAGTTGCTTATCATAAGTTCTTAATACTTTTTTTTCTCTTTTCTCTAAGCTGCATGATAATGGATTTCCCCTAATATCTGCTGAACCAAGCAAATAAGCAATACCTATTTGTTGTAGAAGATATAGAAGAACAAAAAATGATAAAAATTGTCTTTAACAAATCTGCTACCCATATATAATGTTAACATTCTATGTATATTATGCCATATTTTTGTCTAGCCACATTTTTCTTTTTTCAACAAAAATGAGGTCCTTATATTTTTTAGAAATGTGTTTATTAGAAAACTTTAGTAGGGGTGTATTGCTGAAGATGAAATAAAATGTGAGAGTGGATAGAAAGACTAGGAAAATAGCCTCCCAAATGCAGAAAGCAGAACAATTTGGGCCGGTCGCATTGGCTCACACCTGTAATCCCAGCACTTTGGGAGGCCGAGGTAGGAGGATCACGAAATCAGGAGATCGAGACCATCCTGGCTAACACGGTGAAACCCCATCTCTACTAAAAATACAAAAAAGTAGCTGGGCATGGTGGCAGGCGCCTGTAGTCCCAGCTACTTGGGAGGCTGAGGCAGGAGAATGGCATGAACCCAGGAGGCAGAGCTTGCAGTCAGCCGAGATCACGCTGCTGCACTCCCGCCTGGGCAACAGCAAGACTCCATCTCAAAAAAAAAAAAAAGAAAAAAAGAACAGTTCGAAAGTCAGGGCTGGGGCGCAGGCAGTGGCGCAGTCTCACAGCTCACCGCAGACTTGACCTCCCGTTCTCAAGCAATCCTCCCTCTTCAGTAGCTGGGACTACAGGCACGTGCCACCATGCCGGCTGATTGTTTTATTTTATTTATTTGAGACAGAGTCTCGCTCTGTCGCCCTAGCTGGAATGCAGTGGCACAATCTCAGCTCACTGCAACCTCTGCCTCCTGGGTTCAGGGGATTCCCCTGCCTTAGCCTTCCCAGTAGCTGGGATTACAGATACCCGCCACTATGCCCTGGCCTCCCAAATTGCTAGGATTACAGGTATGAGCCACCATGTCCAACCTGTAATTTTTTTTTTTTTTTTTTGAGACGGAGTCTCGCTCTATCTCCCAGGCTGGAGTGCAGTGGCCGGATCTCAGCTCACTGCAAGCTCCGCCTCCTGGGTTCAAGAGATTCTCCTGCCTCAGCCTCCCGAGTAGCTGGGACTATAGGCACCTGCCACCATGCCCAGCTAATTTTTGTATTTTTAGTAGAGACAGGGTTTCACCATGTTGGCCAAGATGGTCTTGATCTGTTGACCTTGTGATCCGCCTACCTCAGCCTCCCAAAGTGCTGGGATTACAGGCGTGAGCCACTGCGCCCAGCATAACCTGTAATTTAAAAAGAAAGTTAAGTAACAGGTAGTAAAAGATTCCCTTAAACCAACTACTTGGTCAAATTATATTAATCTTTTTATAGCTTTTATCTTACATAACCAAGCTGCCTTCTGGAAGCTTGTATCAGTTTTTACTTCCACCAATGATACACTCAAGTAATCTACAAACACACTAGAAATTATACTTCTTGTCCAGCTGAGAAATGCATATATTTAAGTCAGTGCCACTTTAATATTTAAGAAATAATTTCACGCTGGGCACGGTGGCTCATTACTGTAATCCCAGCACTTTGGGAAGCTGAAGCAGGCGGATCACTTGAGGTCAGGACCAGCCTGGCCAACATGGTGAAACCCTGTCTCTACTAAAAATACAAAATTAGCTGGGCATGGTGGTTCATTCTTGTAATAATCCCAGCTACTCGGGAAGCTGACATAGGAGAATCACTTGAACCCAGAAGGTGGAGGTTGTGGTGAGCCAAGATTGCGCCACTGCACTCCAGCCTGGGTGACAGAGCGATACACTGTCTCAAAAAATAATAATAATAACTACAGGTAAGTCTTCCTTTTCTTTATTTAATATAGATGTTCTTGTTCTCGTAGGAAAAGCTGAATCTCAGTTGTATCCATAGTCCTGTTGTTAATGAACTTATGAGAGGAATTCGTTCACAAATGGATGGATTAATCCCTGGGGTAGAACCACGTGAAATGGCAGCTATGTGTCTTGGATTGGCTCACAGGTGAGAATTACTGGAAAATAAAGTCAACTTACTTTTATTTGATAAGCACTTAACATAGCGTTGTTCTAAGAATATTACAAATGTTCATTTGAACCTCATCAGAACCTTATGATTATAGTAATATCCTCATTTATAGATGAAACTGATGCCCAAGGTCAGTACAGCTAGTAAGTGTTAAAGCCAGGGTTTGAACCCAGGCAGTCTGGCTCCATTGTCTGGATTCTTAAAACCTCAAAACCTCATCAAAGGAATTCTCTACTCCTCTGATCTTGGATCCCCTATTTCTTGGACTTTCCTTCTTTTATCTCTGCTAAGTCATGCCACTCCTCCATCTACTTAATATTTCCCCAAATTCTGTCATCTGCTATGGTCTTATGGGGTAGGTGTGTATTTGTGTTTTGATTGTTTTACTGTGATATTTAATGAGGCAAAGAGGACTAGGTGCAGTGGCTCACCCCTGTAATCCCAACTCTGGGAGACCAGGAGTTTGAGACTAGCCTGGGACAACATAGCAAGACCTCATGTGTCTCTTTTTGTTTTGTTTTGTTTTTTTTGAGACAGAGTCTTACTCTGTCACCCAGATTGGAGTGTAGTGGCGTGATCTCAGCTTACTGCAGCCCCTGCCTCCCAGGCTCAAGTGATTTTCTTGCCTCAGCTTCCGAGTAGCTAGGATTACAAGCGTGCAACACTACCACCCAGCTAATTTTTGTATTTTTAGTAGAGACGGGCTTTCACCTTGTTGGCCTGGCTGATCTTGAACTCCTGACCTCAAATGATCCACCCGCCTCAACCTTCCAAAGCACTGGGATTATAGGCTTCAGCCACCACAACTGGCCTCTTTTTTTTTTTTTTTTTTTTGGAGGCAGGGTCTCACTGTGTTGTTCAGGCTAGGGTGCAGTGGTGCGATCTTGCCTCGCTGCAGCCTTGACATCCTGGGATCAAACAGTGCCACCTCAGCCTCCCAAGTAGCTGGGACTACAGGTGCGTGCCACCATCCGTCGCTGGTTTTTTAACTTTTTGTAGAGACGGAGTTTTGCCATGCTGCCCAGGCTGGAACTGCTAGGCTCAAGTGATCCACCTGCCTCAGCCTCCCAAAGTGCTGCTGCTACAGGTGTGAGCCACCATGCCCAGCCATGTCCCATTTTTAATTGCATCTTAACCCTATCATATTTAATTAGAAGTCCCTTAGAATAGGCATTATTGTTATGTTGCGATATATCTGTTCATGAAAAGCATAATACTCTGGAATTGCACTACAGTTAACAGGGTTGTGAAGAAAGTAATGGTAGGTAGTTGCTCAAAACCTATGCAATTTTGTAATCAGTACTATCAAATAGTAATCCTAATAAAATTATTACCACAGTTCAAAAGACATCTTAAGTTCATATTAAAGAAACACTGCAGGCCAGGTGCAGTGGCTCACGCTTGTAATCCCAGCACTTTGGGAGGCCGAGCTGGGCGGATCATGAGGTTAGGAGATCGAGACCATGGTGAAACCCCGTCTCTACTAAAAATACAAATAATTAACTGGGCGCGGTGGCGGGTGCCTATAGTCCCAGCTACTCAGGAGGCCAAGGCAGGAGAATGGCATGAACCCAGGAGGTGGAGCTTGCGGTGAGCCGAGATCGCGCCACTGCACTCCAGCCTGGGTGACAGAGCAAGACTCCGTCTTAAAAAAAAAAAACTACAATTAAAAAAGGTCTATTAAAAAAAAAGTCTATTTTAAAATTAAAAGGTGGGCATAGATTGAAAGGGTTGAAGCTGCTAAGTTAGTTAAGAGCGAAAATGCACAAAGGTCAGGGAGAGCTTTGTAATAAGCATTTCTAAGAGAGAACAAATGGTGAAACTGAGTCACAAATCCAAACTTGGGTAAATCTGCATTGTGTATAGCAGTGGTTCTCTATCGAGGGCAATCAGATGTCCCCTCAGTGGGCGTTTGCCAATGTCCATAGACATTTTTGGTTGTCACAATTGGAGGTGGGGTGGGGTCTGCCACGAACATCTAGTGGATAAAAGTTAGGGATACTGCTAAAGGTCCTATAATGCACAGAGCAGCCCCTACA